TAAATCTAGTCATTCACGGTCAATTGACCTTGTACAAAGGTACTTAGATAATTCAGTGGAGAAAATGATAACATTTTTCAACAATTTACAATTCAAAACTGGATACAACCCCAAATCTATCAAAGCATGGATGATGAATAAATTCTGGTATATTTATACAACGGAATACTACTCAGGAATAAAAAGAAACAAACTACTGATACACAAAATTGCATAACTAAATCAATGAAACTTTATTCAAGCCTAAGAAGCCAGATAAAAGAGTACATATGAAATTATTCCACTAAAATGAAGTACAAAAGCAGACAAATCTAATTTGTAGTGACAGAAATCAGATAAAAATCATATTAGCAACAAGAGGTGGGAAACTGATGGCAAGGATTCACATTGAATTGTGGGATGATGGAATTATTCTAGATTTGGACTGGGGTAGAAGTTACGTGAAAGCTTACAATTGTCAAAGTTCATTGAACTGTATGCTTACCATAAGTGCTTTTTCTAGTATTTAAATTATACTTCAAGAAAGTTGAAAGAAATACATGCTTGTCATTAAAATAGAAGGCCAATCATTTGTAAATTTTCCAGATATGTGGTCATTCTCAATGATTACTTATTATTTTTCTTTCCTTTTTTTTTTTTTTTTTTTTGAGTTGAAGTCTCACTCTGTCACCCAGGCTGAAGTGCAGTGTCACACTCACAGCCACCCCAACATCGACCTGCTGGGCTCCAGTGATCCTTCCGCTTCAGCCCTCCAAGTAGCCAGAACTACAGTGTGTGCTACCAGACCTGGCTAATTTTTAAAAAATTTTTATTGTAGAGACGAGCTCTCACCAAGTTGCCTGGGCTGGTCTCAAACCCACAGACTCAGGCAATCCACTCACCTTGGCCTCCAAAGTGCTAGGATTACAGGCTGAGCCACCAAACCCGACCACTTATTATTTTTCAATTTGTTTTTCCTGACTAACACTAAAGCTAAACATCTCATATTGTTTATTTTTTAGGAATTTTCTGTATTTTAATATACATTTTACTTAGTTGTGGATTTTATTAGATTACTTATAGAACTATATGTATATTTTGAATTTTAATCTTGTGTCTGTAGACATGTTACAGTCTGTCACTTCTTTTGCGAATTTGTTTATGCATTTTTTTGTCCCAGAAAAGTTTCTTATTTTCATAAGGTCAAATATGCCAACATTTTTTCATATAGCTTTTGAGTTTAGCATAAATTATAAATACTCTTTGTATTAGAGCATTTTCATAGATTATAATATACATTTAGCTTTTTAAGCAATCTAAAACATAATTTTACTTATAGTGTAAACATTTTATTTAATATTTTGTATGTCAATTTTGCCAGTTGTGTATATCCTTTCCCCCATTGTTTTTCCTTATCAAAAAATAAATCTCTATATACATAGAACTACTTTTTACCATTCTTCTTACTCTACTCATCTTTCTGTCAATTCCTACATGAATACATACTGTTTTAATTACTGTTTTTTCAAATATGTATAGATATTTGTTGGGAAAGAACCTATTTTTCAAATATTTCAACTTGTCACAAATAAATGCAAAATATCAAAATAAATACAATAATCTCAGAGATTATTATAAATACCTGTATGCATGTAAGCTAGGAAACCTAGAGGAACTGGATGCATTTCTGGAAACACACAACCTCCCAAGACTGAAACGGAAAGAAACTAAAACACTTAACTGACCAATAACAAGCCTCGAAGTTAAATCAGTAATAAAAGCCCTAACAACAACAAAAATTTTGGACCAGATGAATTCACAGCTGAATTCTACCAGATGTAAAAGGGAGAGTTGGTATCAATATTACTGAAAGTATTCCAAACAATTGAGAAGAATAGTCTCCTCCCTAACTAATTCTACTAAACCAATCTAATCCTAATACCCAAATCTGGCAAAGGCACAACAAAGAAAGAAAACTATAGGCTGATGTCCTTGATGAACACAGATGCAAAATTCCTTAACAAAATACTAGCAAACCAGATCCAGCAGCACATCAAAAAGATAATTCACCATGATCAGGAGGGTTTTATTCCTGGGATGTAAGGTTGGTTCAAAATATGCAAATCAATAAAAGTAATCCACCACATAGACATAATTAAAAACAAGAACCACATTGTCACCTCAGTAGGCAAAAGACACATGACACTTCTCAAAGGAAGACATAAAAGTGACCAAGAAACATGAAAAAATGCTGACCACCACTAATCATCAGAGAAATTCAAATCAAAACCACAATGAGATACTCACACCAGTCAGAATGGCTATTATTTAAAAAGTCAAAAACCAACAGATGTTGGTGAGGTTATGGAAAAAAGAGAATGTCATACACTGTTGGTGGGAATGTAAGCTAGTGCAGCCCCTGTGGAAAGCAGTTTGGATATTTCTCAAAGAACTAAAAATAAATTTATCCTTTGACCCAGAAATCCCACTGCTAGTACATACCCAAAGGTGCATAAATCATTCTAGCAAAAAGAGACCTGTACTCATATGTGTATTGCAGTACTATTCACAATAGCAAACACAGGAAACAAACATATGTACCCATCAGTGGTGAACTGGATAAAGAAAATGTGGTATATACACACCATAAAATACTATGGAATACTATGAAGCCATTAAAAAAGAATTAAATCATGTCCTTTGCAGCACATAGTCTCACTTATAAGTGGCAGGTACACACTGGTGCACCTGTACATAAAGATGAAACAGACACTGCTGACTCTTCAAGGAGAAAGGGGAAAGAGAGGAAGTGAGTAAGGGCTGAAAAACTACCAGTTGGGTACCGTGTTCACCATCTGGATGACAGACTTAATAGAACCCCAGACCTCATCATCACACAATATAGCCATATAACAAACTCACACATGTACTCCTTGAACTAAAATTAAAAATAGAACAAAAATTTTTTTTACCTATTTTCTCTTTCAAGAGTACTTGAGGATAAGCTTGTCCATTTCCACAGAAATAATTCCACTGGGAATCTGATTTGGATTGTACTGACTATATTTAAGTTTTACTAGAATTGATTTTAAAATATTGGGATTTCCAAACACATCAAACTGTAAAGTTTTAATTGGATTGTTTTATTGTATAAAAAATTAATCTTTAAAAAATTGTTAAAACCAAGGCAACTTTTCCAGCATCATTACATATGTTCATTTCTTACAGTATTTTTAATATTTTTAATTAAAAAGTTTAGGTTTCTTCCTTTGTTCTTGTACCTACTTTTAACTGCTATTAAGAATATAATCAATTTTTCATTGCCTTTTTTAATACATATTTTTTATTTTAAAATTGTGGGGTACAGTTAAGGGTTAGGTATACAAATATGCATTGTGCAGGTACCCTTGTTGATGAGGTGTGCCCCCTCATCCCCAGTCAGATATTGACTACCATTAATCCCACCTCCCTTCCCCCACCCATAGTTTCCTGCCACTGTCAATCCTTTTCATGTAGTATTACGATAGTTGTTCAAGGTCCACTTATGAGTGAGAACATGTGATACTCAGATCTTTGTTTCTGTGATAGATCACTCAGTATTATAAACTCTAATTCCATCTAGGTTGCTGCGAAATTCTTGATTTTGCTCTTTTTTATGGCCGCATAATATTCCATTGTGTATAACAGACACTTCTCAAAAGAAGACATACGAGCAGCCAACATAGATACATGAAGAAATGTTCAACCTCACTAGTTATCAAGGAAATGCAAATTAAAACTACACTGAGATACCACCTAACTCCAGTCAGAATGACCATTATCAATAACTCAAAAAATAACAGATGCTGGAGAGGATGTGGTGAAAAGGGAACACTTCTACACTGTTGATGGGAGTGTAAACTAGTGCAGCCTCTGTGGAAATCAGTGTGGCGATTCCTAAAAGCTCTAAAATTCATTGCTTTATAAATTGGGCTTTCTGGTACAAAAGAAAGTTATTTAATTTAAAGATCAATCTTTTTTCTTGCCACTGATAGCTCTGTTGTACTATGTCATAAGATTTTAAAGTTCATCCATTATAAATGCTAGTATCACCTTAATAACCACATGATGAATAATAAAATATTTCAGGAAATACTAAAAGAAAAAAGCAAAATACAAAATTGTATATGTACTTATACAGAAGTAAGTAACTAGCTGGAAGATGACATCATAAATCAAGATATAGAAAAAAGAACAAAGAGCAGATTTGAATGAAACATAAAAAGTTTATGTTGTGCATGTTGAGATGAACTGTCCAGGAATGTCAAGTGGAGATGTTCACTGGGCAGATAAGAATAATAGTTGGAAGCTCTGGAGAAAGACAGGGATTCAAACAGAGATGCAGAGGTCAGCAGAGCATAAAAGAGATTGAAAGTAATGGGTTTGAATGTCATCACTTATAGGGAACAAGTAAGGAGACAAATTGACCAATATTAGCAACCTACCCATGTCATAAGTGTAGCTAAAAAAATGACTTCTCTCCTTATTTCTAAAACAAAAGAAAATGAAAAGAAACTGCCAGATCAGATAGTCTGGGATCTTACATAGATTCAACAATTGACATATTGTGTGTCATAAAAAGTTGCTGAACTCCATACAGTGATAGTATCTTCTCTGCTTCCTTGTAATCAGTATGAGAATGGTGCACAAATGTAGATATAAAGTTCTTTTGCAAAGTACAAAATACCAAGTAGAACAGAGACATTCTTAAAAACTGACTTGTTTTTGTTTTAACCAGCATCTAGCTTCTTTTCTGGAAGAATAAGTTTTAGGGCCTTTTGGTATTTTGTCCAAGTAAGGACAACATCCTCATCCCTAGTTCAATTACTCACAGTTATATTTCATCTCCTTTGCATATTGAATAATTATGTAGTATAACAGAAGCTTTCAAGATGAGGAAAGACACAAGAATAATATTCTAATATTAATATCAATTAATTATTATTACCAAATAAATTATGTCATAATTTCACAGGTTACCATCACAGAGAAAAGGGAATTTTCTTTTGACAAATGACTCTTTGCAAGGCTCCCTTCATGTCTCTGTTCCTCAGGCTATAGATGAAGGGGTTCAGTATGGGGGTCACCACAGTGTACATCATAGACATGACAGTGTCCTTGAGAGTAGAATTACCAGCTGATGGGCATAAGTAGAGACCAATAATTGTCCCAAAGAACAGTGACACCACAGCAAGGTGGGAACCACAGGTGGAGAAGGCCTTACAGATACCCCCAGCAGAAGGGACCTTGAAGATGGAGGAGACAATTCTCACATAGGACACGATGATGAGTAGGAATGGGATAACAATAATGAGGCCTCCCATGATAAATATCACCAATTCATTAACTCGAGTGTCAGAGCAGGCCAGCTTTAGCAGAGCAGACATATCACAGAAAAAGTGGGGGATCACGTTGTTGGCACAAAAACACAGTCTGGCCATGAGCAAGGTATGCAACATGGCATGGAACGTGGTCAGCACCCAGGACAGCACCACCAGGGAGAGACAGAGCTTGGGACTCATGATGATGGTGTAGTGCAGGGGGAAACAGATGGCCACATAGCGGTCATAGGCCATGGCTACAAGGAGGAAGCTCTCCAGGTCCCCAAAAAACAGAAAGAAATACATTTGAGTCAGACAACCTGTATAGGAAATAGATAGATCTTGGCTCTGCATGATCTGCAACAACTTGGGAATGGTCACAGAAGAGAAGCAGAGGTCAGAGAAGGACAAGTTGCTGAGAAACAAATACATGGGTGTGTGGAGGTGGGAGTCCAGTTGAATAAGGACGATAATGAGGAGGTTTTCCATGACTGTGGTAAGATACATGGCCAGGAACAGGGCATAGAACAGGTTTTGCTGCTCTGGTTTGATGGGCAGGCCCAGAAGAAGAAACTTTGAGATTGTTTGATTCTTGTCATGTTCTGTCTCCAGCATCGTTAAGGGAAAATGCTAGTGTCCTTTAGAAACCTAAATTTAAAAATGAAGATATTTCTTGATATATGGTCTATTAAGTGTTCTACAAAAAGTCTTTATTTAACTGTCATCTCAATAATTATAATTGCTGTACCATGAATATCTCCAATTAGACTCTATAATCAGAAATGACTTATTTTCTTTATATCACTCACATGTGTCCATATGTTATCCTTTCTAAAACACTCTTATCTATTTAATTCTGAAATATAACACATGTTGGCTTTCTCTTACCTGCCTGGTAGTCATCCTCAGTGACTGTAATTGACTCCTGCTCTGTCAATATCATACATGCTGATAATCCTCAGGGCTTTTCTAAACTTTGTTTTTTCTTATAATTCTGCATATACCCCCAAGAAAAACTCATCTACTCTACTGGATCAATTGCCATTCAAAACTTAAGTGTAGACATTCTCCAACCTACAAAACTCTGTATACCAAGTATCAATGATTATCTTCCCTTGGATGTATTCCAGCTATCTTCAGCTCAACAGATCTCACATGAAACCCTGGCCTCACCTTGCTCCTCTTCCAACCCATCCTCCTCTACTCTCATATTTAGTAAAAGGAATCCAGGCTCAAGTCAGAAACTTGAGAGCTTTATTTCATTAATTCTTTTCTCTCATCAACAACCAACCAGCAAGTCCTATAGATTTTACATTTTGTTCTTTTTCTAATTCATTCACTCTTTCTCCCAAATACCACTATCTTAGACACAGCTGATATCTTATCTTACCTGGACTATTTAAATCACTTTTCAATTCATCTCTCTACTTCTGTGCTTCAATACTTTTCTCTTCTAACAATCTTCATTCATACTGTGGCATTCTAAGGTGTAAATCTGATCATTCCTCTCTCCTGATTAAATACTTCATGAATTATCATTGTTCTTAAGATAGAAGCAACATTTCTTGTAAGGACACAAATGATGTTTTGTTACCTGAGCTTTGCCTACCTCCACAGCTTCATCTTGCTCCACAATGACTCTTACATCCCACTCTCCATCAATGCTGGACTTAACAGTCTTACTTCCAGCCTTTCACACTTGCTGTCCCTCCTGCCTAACACCTTCTTCCCTCTGCCACGTCTTACCTCTGGCTTATTCACTCTTATCCCTCAGGAATGTTCCTGACTCAGCTAAACCTTCCCTGTGTATGTAGACCAGAGGAGACCTGCTGCTATGTTTCCACAGCATCCTGTACTCATCCAATAGCACTCAATGCCCTTGATCTCTTGTTGATAGCTAACTTCCTTACCAGATTGTAAGCTCTATGCAGGAAAGGCCACATCTGCTTTTGTGACTGCAGCAGGACTAGCACCTGGCTTGGTGTTTGGATATTGCTCATGTTTCATAAATATTTGTTGGCTATTCTCAGGCTGAGATATACATTTCTCCAACTTTAAAGGCAGAAAACTCCCATTAATTTAGACAAATTGTTCCTACTAAAGACTTCTGTGACTAGAACTCATTAGCTTTAACAATTTAGCACTAAATTTTGACACTCTATTATTGACTTTGTGGGTGTACTTTTTTACCATGGAAAATATTAGGGTACCTAAGGAATATTATTCTTTCCATTAATATAGATAATTCAAACCAAACATCTTGCACTTAAGTCCACATGATATCATTGATGTTGGTGTGGGGGAAAAATATATACAATGAGAGTTTTATAAATTATAGGACAAGCAGAAAGGTTTATTTCTACACTCAAGCCCTCACTTGATTTCTTTCTCAGATATCCATATTGCCGAAGTGATGGTTAACTTTATGTGTCAACTTGGCTAGGCCCTGGTACCAATTATGAAGGTATTTTGAAATGTGATTAACGTTTAAATCAGTAGACTTTGATTAAAGCAGATTATTCTCCATAATGTGGCAAGTCTCATACAATTAGTTGAGGCCTTAAGAAAAAAGACTGTGGTCCCCTGAAGAAGAAAGAATTATGCCTCCAGACTGCCCTCCTACTCAAGAGTATAACAACAGATCTTTCTAGAGTTTCCAGTTTGCTGACTTATCTGCTCTTCAGATTTCAGACTTGTCAGTCCTCACAATCTCATGAGCTGAGTCCTTATAAGAAATAGATATAGACAGATGGATGGATGAATAGATAGATAGATAGATAGATAGATAGATAGATAGATAGATAGATAGATAGATGACAGACTATGGCTGTGGTTCTGACTTCTGGAGAACCCTGACTCTAAAAACACCACAGTATGCCTCACATCTGACAAGGAAAGCAGAGAAGGAGCATTTAGAGATAAGGGAAGCTTCTTCACTAAAAAATATATAACTGAGGAGATATATAATGCTATAATTTTCACCCTGTTTAGTGTTTAATACAGCTGTTTTTACACTCAGACATTATGTGCTGGTATTACAGTGGAAAGAAACATTTGTGAAAATCATATATCTGGTTTCTCAGAATTTTTCTTCCTTGGTAAATTAATGGGACCCATCTCTGGTGTCAAAAATGTGACTAGGAGTCACAAACCAAAGACACTACTTGCAGATGTTGCCACTGATGATGAAAAAAACTTCACTGGGGACAGGGGGAGCACACCTCATCAACAAGGGTATCTGCACAATGCATATTTGTATATCTAACCCTTAACTATACCCCACAATTTTGGAATAAAAAATATGTATTATTAAAAAAAGAAAAAAGAAAAGAACTTCATATCTTCCTCACCTATTGAATCGTCAGTTTTCACTCCAGGATTGGACAAAAGATTCACCTAAGGCAATGTTTCTAAACTTGAATGTTTATGCAAATCTTCTGAGGATTCTGATTCTGTAGTTCAGGTCCTACATTTTTAATTAATACCCAAATAATGCCAGTGCTATAGCCCATGGAATGTGCATGATTAGTAAGGATATATATTTACTTTAAATTATAAATTACTGGATCCCATCAGACAAATTTAATCAAAATATCTGAGAGGAGGCTTATGAAAAGTTTTTTTAAAAGTTTCACACATATTGCTTTTGACCTTTTGGTGAAGATCGGGTGTGAAGTTTCACAGTTAATTATAAAACAAACCAAGGCTTGGGAACTACTGCATTAAAGCCTATCTCACAGAGATGTCATTATATTGAAATACTATATTGCACAGTAAGTAATATGTATGATGCTGTCATAAGTAACAACTGTAATGGACAAACATTAGTCAAAATACTTCTAGAATTTTGGAAGTTTGGGAGGCAGAAGAGTGGAGAAAAGGAAAGTTGTATCTGAAAAACTACCCTACAGAACATCACACAAACTTGAGAGACCAAGACCCTCGGGTTGGAAGGACACTAAGGCACCAGCTTATCTACCCTTTTCCCCAACTTACCCAGTATCTGACGGTAACACCAGGGCCCTGAACTGAGATCCTGCTCCTCTTTATTCTTTAGAGGCATGTGAAGTAACAGCCTCTGTGGTTGTCCCCTGTGTCTAGACCATCCGCTTCACGTCTCTTCTTCTACCATGACTAGGCCTAAGGGATCCTGCATCCCAGAGGAATCCAGATCTTGGAGTAACTCATTAAAGACAAAGTAACTACCCAAGATCTCTCCAGAACAAATTATCTCAGACTCCTGTAGCAGGGCCTGATTATAGTGACTGATCACATATAGTGACTGCCTGTAATTTGGGAGAATATGAGAATAGAGAAGGTCATAGATGGATGCTTAATCATTGCCTACTTAGGAAATGGACAGTAGTCTTATGTGGCTAGAGCCTACATTTTTGGAAGTGAAGAAGAATGGTTGCAGAAGCCAAAGGAGTAAGCTGGTACTGGACTGTGAATAGCATCTCTAAGCTTTCTTAGAAGTATAGTAATTTACACAAGAAGCCATTAGTGATCTTTGAGAAGAGTGCATCCATAAAACACATGTTTTGTAAATATTTCTAGGTGGTAGTCTCTCACTAAAACTCAACTGCCCTTAGAAATACCCCAGGAGAGAGATCAATTGCCATTAAAAAGAATCAGACTTCTATGACCCAACCATATTAGATATATAGAAAGGACAGGAATTGGAGAAAAAAGGAACTCTCTCTGTTGGGAGCCGGCCATAGAGGCCCGCCTGAGCATTAGGGATCCAGGTGGGCTGCGGACCCTGAGACCACTAGGATGAGTTCAGGAGCTGATGGCCCATTCCCTTTTCCCTTTTTGGCTGTTTGGCACATCTCAGTAGCAGGGACTTTGATGATCTAAGCATGAAACTTCGAGAGTACGACAGGCATGGCTAACTCTAGGGATCCATTGTTCCCGTTTCTCACAGACTGCAGTTTCAGCTTTAAGCTTAACACAGTTCAAACTCAGGTCACATTTGGGAGACTTTAATATGGTACAAGCTTCTTTATAAGATTTAAAAGTATATTTGTAGAATTAGTATATACATATAAAGTGCTGTTTCAACTTTAATAATATATATAATTATCTAGAGCTACCAGAAATGGCCCAGCACGAACTTTGGGCTGGGCCACATTCCTAAGGGCCCAGCATGTAACTTGGACTGAGCAGCTGCATTCTTTTAAACTGGTTTTAGCTACAGTTAGTGTAGGGGTTTTTTTCTACTTATTATAGAAATTGAATTTATTTTATTCATAGAAAGTATTGTAGAATAGGTTATGCTACATCAATGAATTATGTTAGTTCAAGCATGATCAAACATGATATTTTGAGGTTTCATAAGAATACAGCTAACTTTAGAAATATCATTGTTTCCATTTTCTACTATTGTGGTTTTGGCCTTAGTACAACTTACAGTTTATATTTGGGTTTTATTTTTAAAAGGTTTATTGCTGATGATCAGCTTTATATATTAGAATTAGGAATTAGAAACTTATAGAAGTTAAAATAGATATATAGGATTTTAGAAGAGCCATTTTGTTAAGAGATTGTAATCAATTGTTCCTAGAAACGGCCCAGTATGATCTTTTGACTGGGCCACATTCTTTAGGAACTGG